GCCTTCGGGGCAGCGGTCTCTGGGCGGGCGCCTCCTGGGATAGGATGGACAGGGCCAGGCGCTGGGTGGCGGCCTCGATCTTGGTGAACTGCCTGCAAAGAGATGGGTGGCAGCTGGTGGCAGCAAAGGGACTCCGCCCACCTGTCACCGCCGGGGAGAGTCGCCCCTGCTTGCCTTTCCCATGCTTCTTCGTGCTGATCTCTGCCCTGAGCTCCATTTTCTTGAGTCTGACAATTTACTGTTTCGGACTCAGTGCATAGGGAAGCTCTGAACATATGGAGGGATTCAAGGCAGTTCATCCAGTCCAGCACTAGGTACATTTTTGACTGTAGATTATAGCCCTGCCCAGCACATTTCTCTTGTCTAACTGCCTGCTCCCCAGTCCTGGCAAAGTTGCACAGAAGCCCAGAGTCGAGTGAGGACAAGGCACACAGCGTGCTTTGTGATCCACTCAAATAAAGTTGTTCAAACATGGTGCACACCTGTGATCCCAGCCCTCGGGAAGCTGAGGCAAGAATGGGGCTGGGGTTGTAGCTCAGCTTGCCTGAGGCCCTGGGTTCCATCCCAGCTGTTGGAACAGTGACACAAGCAGGCCTTGTTGATCTGTGAGGAGGCAGGGCTTCGAGGACTTGTTCCTGGATCTGAGTGTTAGTTACACCAGTGCTTTCCTTCTGGGAAACCTGCGGAGCTCTGTGCTGATGTGCATGTGTGCTTTGTGCTTAACTTCCGTAAAGGGCTGGTTTAAAGTATACCCAGTACCTCCAATTGCATTTGGGTGAAGTACTCAGGCAGATAGATGGCTGGAGGCAGGAAGCAGTTGGAGGTCCCTGGGGTGGGTGGGGGAAAAGCGTGGCGTGTGGAAGGCCACCGAATCCTATACTCAGGAAAGGTGAATCATAGGCCAAGTGTATTTCACCACAGTTAAAAAATATATCTGAGTCTTCAATAAGCAATTGAAACCTAGTGCTCAAAGACTGTTAGGCTGGTGAGGGGTGGCACCTGCCTATAATCCCAGCTCTCTGGAGGCTGAGGCAGGAGGACTGCAAGCTCAAGACCAGCCTGGGCTCCACAGTGAGTGCAAGTTAGCCTGGAGTATTTAGCAAGACTCTTATCTCAAGAAATAAAAGGAATTTTTTTATTCCAAGGAAGGTATTTATGCTGTTAGTGACCCAGGGAAAACCTTCACAA